TATGAATCCCATAAGAAATAAAAGTAATGTATCGTGCCTGCTAACTCATGTTTTCTTTAAAAATGGTCCATATATTACCAATTCTCCAAGGGTTTGCAAACTTTGAGCACAACTGTATTTATGGCTTGACCGATGTAATTAATAGCCATCTTAATAGTATTTATGGCTGATCGGATGTAATTAATAGCTAACTTAAATGCAGTTGTTTCTTATATCAGACTCAGAAGGTTAACAGGACCCCTCAAGTGCAGTTTGCAGCCATGTCCCCAGCCGGTGTGTGGTCAGATCACATAAGGGATGTTGTAATGTTTCCTGTTGCAGAAACATCAGAGCCACATCACAACAAAGCGTCATGGGACATGCTGAATTAACAGCTCACCCCAAAACAAATATATTGTGCCACATACTGAACTACTGTGTTACATTATGTGTGGCCTGGGACATGTGGAACATACCTTACAGAGAGACATGTGCGGCCTCAGTGAGCCACTTGGATTACTTGTGATTGCTAAAACAATTTTGCCCACTATCGTTTGCAGATTTGTACAAATTGAAGCCACGTGGTGTAAAAGAAGAGTTTCCCTATTTTCACATTTTGCAGGGTAATAATGAAATAACAGAAGAAAGGAACGTCTTCCTTTCCATGTCATATCTTCTACGTGGTCAGCCAAGGTCTAACCTTTTACACAACTGGATGTTTTCCATTGTTTTTGTTTCTGGGTCCCTCAAGACCTGGTTTGGGAGCTCAGCACACTCATTTCGGTTTACACTCAACACGTGGGGGTGACCATACCTATGGCAGAGAGAGCAGTATATAGGAAGTATAGAGCATTTAGGGTGTATTGAGTATGCATGGTAAATATCATGTATAGGATATATAGGGTGTACATAGTATATAACATATATGGGGTATATAGAGTATACTGCATATATATATAGTGTACACAGTATATAGGTTGTATATGGTATATAGACTACATAGTTTATATAGGGTATATATGATCTACAGGCTAAATATGGTGTATACAGGAGTATAGGATATATAGCTGATGCACAAAGGGTTGGATTAAGATCCCATGGTGCCTGGTCTTGCAGATTATAATGGGTGAAAGGTGGATGTAGTGAGTGTGGCGGAGAGGGGACATGTCATACTGTCAGAGAAAGAGGTGGATGTAGTGAGTGTGGCAGAGAAGGGACATGTCATACTGTCTGAGAAAGGTGGATGTAGTGAGTGTGGCGGAGAGGGGACATGTCACACTGTCAGAGAAAGAGGTGGATGTAGTGAGTGTGTCGGAGAGGGGACATGTCATACTGTCAGAGAAAGAGGTGGATGTAGTGAGTGTGGCGGAGAGGGGACATGTCACACTGTCAGAGAAAGAGGTGGATGTAGTGAGTGTGTCGGAGAGGGGACATTTCACACTGTCAGAGAAAGAGGTGGATGTAGTGAGTGTGTCGGAGAGGGGACATTTCACACTGTCAGAGAAAGAGGTGGATGTAGTGAGTGTGGCGGAGAGGGGACATGTCATACTGTCAGAGAAAGAGGTGGATGTAGTAAGTGTGGCGGAGAGGGGACATGTCATACTGTCAGAGAAAGAGGTGGATGTAGTGAGTGTGGCGGAGAGGGGACATGTCATACTGTCAGAGAAAGAGGTGGATGTAGTAAGTGTGGCGGAGAGGGCACATGTCACACTGTCAGACAGAGAAAGGAGTTGGATGTAGTTAGTGTGGAGGAGGTAGCCTGGAGTTGCAGTTCTATTAACCCCTACGTTGCTCTGGATATAACTTTTACTTAGTACTTCCAGCAGCGACACGGTTACTCTGAAGAAGAGGAAGTTTGGTTGTTTGCAGGACGGTGCAGGGTGATGTTTATTACTGCTCTATATTGTCACATTCATTGTGGTTTTATGGTCACTTCCCACTCAGAAGTGCAGAAAAAGCAGAAGCACAGAGACAACAGAAAGAGAGAGACAGCCCGGAGAGGGTCTCGTAGCCAGGAGACAGACTCGCAGCCCCATGGATTTCCTGCAGAGACATCTTCCCCGTGTGTACCAGGCTGTGCAGAATGCACTGGTGAGACTGCCCAGGGAAGGTGGTGGGAGCAGCACAAAGACCCATATGGCAGGGAGGCTGCAGTAGGCAGGTAAACTGGGTGCAGGTAAAAAAGACGGAGGAATCCTTGGACTGCAAGGATACATTGAGACCCATAGTAGACTGACTGTAAGGATACATTGAGGCCCAGAATAGACAGACGGTAAGGATACATTGAGACCCAGCTTAGACTGGCAGTAAGGTTACATTGAGACCCAGAATAGACTGGCGATATACATTGAGACCCAGAATAGACTGGCGATATACATTGAGACCCAGAATAGACTGGCGATATACATTGAGACCCAGAATAGACTGGCGATATACATTGAGACCCAAAAGAGACTGGCGATATACATTGAGACCCAAAAGAGACTGGCGATATACATTGAGACCCAAAAGAGACTGGCGATATACATTGAGACCCAGAAGAGACTGGCGATATACATTGAGACCCAGAAGAGACTGGCGATAAGGATACATTGAGACCCATAGTAGACTGGCGGTAAGGATACATTGAGACCCAGAGTAGACTGGCAGTAAGGATACATTGAGACTGAGAATAGACTGGCGATAAGGATACATTGAGGCCCAGAATAGACTGGCAGTAAGGATACATTGAGGCCCAGAGTAGACTGGCGGTAAGGATACATAGAGTAGACTGGCGGTAAGGATACATGGAGACCCAGAATAGACTGGCGGTAAGGATACATTGAGACCCAGAGTAGACTGGCAGTAAGGATACATTGAGACCGAGAATAGACTGGTGATAAGGATACATTGAGGCCCAGAATAGACTGGCAGTAAGGATACATTGAGGCCCAGAATAGACTGGCGGTAAGGATACATTGAGACCCAGAATAGACTGGCGGTAAGGATACATTGAGGCCCAGAGTAGGCTGGCGGTAAGGATACATAGAGTAGACTGGCGGTAAGGATACATTGAGACCCAGAATAGACTGGCAGTAAGGATACATTGAGACCCAGAGTAGACTGGTGGTAAGGATACATTGAGACCCAGAATAGACTGGCAGTAAGGATACATTGAGACCCAGAATAGACTGGTGGTAAGGATACATTGAGACCCAGAGTAGACTGGTGGTAAGGATACATTGAGACCCAGAATAGACTGGCAGTAAGGATACATTGAGACCCAGAATAGACTGGTGGTAAGGATACATTGAGACCCAGAATAGACTGGTGGTAAGGATACATTGAGGCCCAGAGTAGACTGGCGGTAAGGATACATTGAGTAGACTGGCGGTAAGGATACATTGAGACCCAGAATAGACTGGCAGTAAGGATACATTGAGACCCAGAATAGACTGGTGGTAAGGATACATTGAGACCCAGAATAGACTGGTGGTAAGGATACATTGAGGCCCAGAGTAGACTGGCGGTAAGGATACATAGAGTAGACTGGCGGTAAGGATGCATTGAGACCCAGAATAGACTGGCGGTAAGGATACATGGAGACCCAGAATAGACTGGCAGTGGGATTCCAGCATTTTTTAATATCCCAAGGACCCTTACATGATCGCCCTGTACATATCGCATAGAGGGTTTGTAGAGAATTGATTAACAAAATTGCACATTTTATACAAAAATAAATGTCTGAAATGGAGATATAGCTGAGGGCTCTCAGGTTTATCTAAAATGGGCATGCTTGGGCCCAGTGAGGATCCCCCAAACTGGCAGAGCGGGTATTTGTTATACTTTGTATCTTGCTTTCTATAAACTGATAACTAGTTTTTTCTTTGTAGCCATAAAACGATCACAGGTTTTATATTATTCTGTCTGTATTAGACATGCAGCTATTCTACTGAGAGATTTCATTAAATAATGCTTGGCTTATATGAGAGGACGTTGTAAGTTAATAAAGCATATTGTATGGGGCTGTCTGTGCATGGTGGGACTTATAGACCGTTGTAGGCTGCCTGTCTATCCCTGACTTCCAGTCACCCTGCTGGCAAGGCTTGGTATCTGCTTCTTTCATTTAATGAAGATAAGAGGATAATCACCTTATCACTTCCTTTTACTGTTATTGCAGAAAGGACAGGGTATGGAGGCGTACTACATGAGACTGACTATATAGAGTGTAAAGCATTATATACAAGGAGAGGTTTACATAACTATTCACCCTCTCCCCTCATCCACAGACGGTTTCTCATTTTGTAGTGTTATTTCCTGGATCTAAAATTTATTTTATTGGAAATTATGCAACATACCTTCCACTTATACACAGAACTTGGTTAATTTATTTTTATTACACAAGTTAATAATGAAAAAGAAAAAAAAACACCCTGGTGGTTGCACAGTACTTACCTACATTGCTGTGAGACATTAAAAAGCTTTGGTGGAGTCCATTACTGGTGGAAGACACATAAATAGTTGGATGGAGTTCACGTGCTGCAATTATTGTGTCAAAGAATGCAGAAATAAACACTTGTTTAAAGTGCTGTAGAAGCACCAGCCTGGATTTGTTTAGAAAATATTGCCCAGACTTTAAACATCCATCAGAGCACAGATACATTCATTAGTAAAACACGGAAGCAATATGGAAGAACCCCAGGGCTGCCCAGAGAAGACCATCCTCAATACTCGGTGATCTGGTAAGGAAGACATTAGTTGAAGAAGCCACTAGAATGTCAATGGTAGTGGTGAAGCAGGTGAGATTCGAAACTGAGATTGGAGAAACCATCCATGAGATAACTATAGCATGTGGTGTCAAAGCTGGACTGCATGGCCACAGAGTCAAAAGAAAGTCATTGCTGGAAAAAACAAAACATAAAGTCCAATTTGGCATTTGACGAAAGGGATGTGGCAAACACAACAAATGAAGAAAAAGATTCTCTGTTCTAATGAAGCCAAAACATAACTTTTGGGGATTTAATGCAATTCTAGGGGAAAACATGTTTCAGTGTTCCGGAAAACGGAGACTAAAGCAGAGGTTCAACGTCCCACAAGATAACGACCCCAAATACAGAATTAAAGTGATGCTGAAATGGTCTAAAGTCAATCATCTGAATGTCTTCTAATGGCCCGGTCAAGGCATAGACCCCGATCCTACTGAACATGAGCAATTGTGTCAAGAAAAACAGTAAAATAATTGCAGGATCTAAATGTGCAAAAGCTGGTGAAGACTTACCCCAAAAAGACCGCTTTTGTAACTTAAAAAAGTTGGTTCTACCAAGTATGGAGGAAGAAGGAATAATTATACAAATAAAATGTCTGTTGTGCTTTGGTTATTAAAACTTTTCTATCATGACAACAATAATTTGTAGGTTCAAAACCTAAGGAATGTTGTGTAAATCAGATGGCAAAACTCAATTTAATTCTTGGCTGAACGCTAGAAAATGTGAATATACAAAAACGTCTACATTCATTATACAGTTAGAATTACCTTTCCATTAAATAATTTGCCATGGATCTCCAGACTGAGACAAGATGTTAACGATTACGGATCGTACACGTTTTGGGTCATTTTGGTTAATAATGGTATCATTCAGCCCCTTTCTTTTCCTCAAGCTATACAAACCGAGGTCCACTCTCTCTTTCCATTAGGATTACTTGGGCAATGTCGCAGCACAGGTTTTTGGTGCTCCACCCAACGCCCCACGTCCTTCAAACTCTGGAAGCAAGGTCGCCATTGGTACCGAGACTCTTCAGGAGACCAACACCTCACAGGGGTTCCCATCTACTGATACAAGAACTGGAACCAGCTCCACGCAGGTATGGGGACATCTATAATATTGAGACATTGAGCACTGTATTTATTAAATGTGTACTTACTTTCCATCCACATGTTTTGTAGATAACAGGTTTACTAATCACCTACAGAGCCAAGCTATGTCAGCATACACATTGACCAGACATACAGGGTTAATCCATTATAGCATTCACTTCACATTCACTATAGCACTGTCAAGTGAAATGAACATTTTAGGCAAAAACTGTCACACTAAAATTCTCCACACAAGTTATTTTTCCAACTTGGCTATTTAATCTTAAAGGGACTGTTAAGTCCCCTACAACACTTTACATCTGGTCTTTTTGTAAAATGAAAAAAATAAGTTCTGCATGGTAAATAGAAATGGACATTTTGTAAATGAGCTTTGTTACACCCCCCTGACTGTCAATTGGACAACCATCCTATTACATCCTGGTTTGTGTAGCTCAGTGGAGCACCTGCCTTGAGCTGCATTGGGAAGTCTGTGATTGGACAGCCACAGAAAGTCTGGGCGGGGTTAGAAGGGGAGGGCTTGCAAAGGCTGCAGACAAGAATATAGCAAGCTGTTTTTAGATATACCCTAAATGAAACAAATGCCTAATTAAAATTAAATGCATGGATGGTTTCATTTGAGGTATATCTACCAAACAGTGATATATATTATTATGTTTAATTTGGGCAGTGGAGTGTCCGTAAACAGTCTCCCTACATACTTCCTGTAAAGAGAGATGTAATTTCCAAACGCCCTTTATTGCACAGTCCATTTGATTTAGTATTCCCTGTCTCCTGCTCTATTAATTGCCTGGTACAGCCTGCAGGATCCTCCTGTGTGTGATTATTGTTCAGTTTACAGAGCAGGAGATAAAAATTTCTACAATAAAACCATACTGCATAAACAGAAACAAAAGTGATTTCACTCCTAAAGGGCAGAGAACTGAGCAGTGAGACTACAGGGACATGATCTATACACCCAAACTGCTTCATTAAGCTAAAGCTGTTTTAATGACTATAGTGTCCCTTTAATATTATGCGCTGTTGCAATGGTTTCCGTTTTATCCCATATTCGGAGTTATTTACGCTGAGCAGGAAGTTGGTGTTTAGAAGGTGATGTGTCAGATAACCACAAACGTGACAGCGCCAGTCCCAGGAAGCAACTCGCCAATTATTAATGCTTTTTTTACAAAAATAGACATCTGTCCCCAAATCGCACTCACTGCTTAACTGCTTCAGTGCCAGAGCTGAGAGCGTCTCGTCGGTCACTCTGCTGATAATGAAAGTAGTAACTAGTCAGTCTGCGGGAGCTGTAATGAGTCATTCGCTGATATGCAAGATTTTGCCCAGTAAAACCCAAATCAGTAACAAAAACTCCAAGTTAGCAAAGATGTAGATTTTTCTCCAGAACGTTATATAGTATCAGTAACCCACATAACTAATTATCATTATATAGTATCAGTAACCCACATAACTAATTATCGTTATATAGTATCAGTAACCCCCATAACTAATTATCATTATATAGTATCAGTAACCCACATAACTAATTATCATTATATAGTATCAGTAACCCACATAACTAATTATCATTATATAGTATCAGTAACCCACATAACTAATTATCATTATATAGTATCAGTAACCCACATAACTAATTATCATTATATAGTATCAGTAACCCACATAACTGAATTATCATTATATAGTATCAGTAACCCACATAACTAATTATCGTTATATAGTATCAGTAACCCCCATAACTAATTATCATTATATAGTATCAGTAACCCACATAACTAATTATCATTATATAGTATCAGTAACCCACATAACTAATTATCATTATATAGTATCAGTAACCCACATAACTAATTATCATTATATAGTATCAGTAACCCACATAACTAATTATCATTATATAGTATCAGTAACCCACATAACTAATTATCATTATATAGTATCAGTAACCCACATAACTAATTATCATTATATAGTATCAGTAACCCACATAACTAATTATCGTTATATAGTATCAGTAACCCCCATAACTAATTATCATTATATAGTATCAGTAACCCACATAACTAATTATCATTATATAGTATCAGTAACCCACATAACTAATTATCATTATATAGTATCAGTAACCCACATAACTGGCTAATTATCATTATATAGTATCAGTAACCCACATAACTAATTATCATTATATAGTATCAGTAACCCACATAACTAATTATCATTATATAGTATCAGTAACCCACATAACTAATTATCATTAAATAGTATCAGTAACCCACATAACTAATTATCATTATATAGTATCAGTAACCCACATAACTAATTATCATTATATAGTATCAGTAACCCACATAACTAATCATCATTATATAGTATCAGTAACCCCCATAACTAATCATCGTTATATAGTATCAGTAACCCCCATAACTAATTATCATTATATAGTATCAGTAACCCACATAACTAATTATCATTATATAGTATCAGTAACCCACATAACTAATTATCATTATATAGTATCAGTAACCCACATAACTAATTATCATTATATAGTATCAGTAACCCCCATAACTAATTATCGTTATATAGTATCAGTAACCCCCATAACTAATTATCGTTATATAGTATCAGTAACCCCCATAACTAATTATCGTTATATAGTATCAGTAACCCCCATAACTAATTATCATTATATAGTATCAGTAACCCACATAACTAATTATCATTATTTAGTATCAGTAACCCACATAACTAATTATCATTATATAGTATCAGTAACCCACATAACTAATTATCATTATATAGTATCAGTAACCCACATAACTAATTATCGTTATATAGTATCAGTAACCCCCATAACTAATTATCATTATATAGTATCAGTAACCCCCATAACTAATTATCATTATATAGTATCAGTAACCCACATAACTAATTATCATTATATAGTATCAGTAACCCACATAACTGGCTAATTATCATTATATAGTATCAGTAACCCACATAACTAATTATCATTATATAGTATCAGTAACCCACATAACTAATTATCATTATATAGTATCAGTAACCCACATAACTAATTATCATTATATAGTATCGGTAACCCACATAACTAATTATCATTATATAGTATCAGTAACCCACATAACTGGCTAATTATCATTATATAGTATCAGTAACCCACATAACTAATTATCATTATATGGGATCAGTAACCCACATAACTAATTATCATTATATAGTATCAGTAACCCACATAACTGGCTAATTATCATTATATAGTATCAGTACCCACATAACTAATCATCATTATATAGTATCAGTAACCCACATAACTGGCTAATTATCATTATATAGTATCAGTAACCCACATAACTGGCTAATTATCATTATATAGAATCAGTAACCCACATAACTAATTATCATTATATAGTATCGGTAACCCACATAACTAATCATCATTATATAGTATCAGTAACCCACATAACTAATTATCATTATATAGTATCAGTACCCACATAACTGGCTAATTATCATTATATAGTATCAGTAACCCACATAACTAATTATCATTATATAGGATCAGTAACCCACATAACTAATTATCATTATATAGTATCAGTAACCCACATAACTGGCTAATTATCATTATATAGTATCAGTAACCCACATAACTAATTATCATTATATAGGATCAGTAACCCACATAACTAATTATCATTATATAGTATCAGTAACCCACATAACTGGCTAATAATCATTATATAGTATCAGTACCCACATAACTAATTATCATTATATAGTATCAGTAACCCACATAACTGGCTAATTATCATTATATAGTATCAGTAACCAACATAACTAATTATCATTATATAGTATCAGTAACCCACATAACTGGCTAATTATCATTATATAGTATCAGTAACCCACATAACTAATTATCATTATATAGTATCAGTAACCCACATAACTGGCTAATTATCATTATATAGTATCAGTACCCACATAACTAATTATCATTATATAGTATCAGTAACCCACATAACTAATTATCATTATATAGTATCAGTAACCCACATAACTAATTATCATTATATAGTATTAGTAACCCACATAACTAATTATCATTATATAGTATTAGTAACCCACATAACTAATTATCATTATATAGTATCAGTAACCCACATAACTAATTATCATTATATAGTATCAGTAACCCACATAACTAATTATCATTATAGTATCAGTAACCCACATAACTAATTATCATTATATAGTATCAGTAACCAACATAACTAATCATCATTATATAGTATCAGTACCCACATAACTAATTATCATTATATAGTATCACTAACCCACATAACTAATTATCATTATATAGTACCAGTAACCCACATAACTAATCATCATTATATAGTATCAGTACCCACATAACTAATCATCATTATATAGTATCAGTACCCACATAACTAATTATCATTATATAGTATCAGTACCCACATAACTAATTATCATTATATAGTATCAGTAACCCACATAACTAATTATCATTATATAGTATCAGTAACCCACATAACTAATTATCATTATATAGTATCACTAACCCACATAACTAATTATCATTATATAGTATCAGTAACCCACATAACTAATCATTATATAGTATCACTAACCCACATAACTAATTATCATTATATAGTATCAGTAACCCACATAACTAATTATCATTATATAGTATCACTAACCCACATAACTAATTATCATTATATTAAATCAGTAACCCACATAACTAATTATCATTATATAGTATCAGTACCCCCACATAACTAATTATCATTATATAGTATCAGTACCCCACATAACTAATTATCATTATATAGTATCAGTATCCCACATAACTAATTATCATTATATAGTATCAGTAACCCACATAACTGGCTAATTATCATTATATAGTATCAGCACCCACATAACTAATTATCATTATATAGTATCAGTAACCCACATAACTGGCTAATTATCATTATATAGTATCAGCACCCACATAACTAATTATCATTATATAGTATCAGTATCCCACATAACTAATTATCATTATATAGTATCAGTAACCCACATAACTGGCTAATTATCATTATATAGTATCAGCACCCACATAACTAATTATCATTATATAGTATCAGTAACCCACATAACTAATTATCATTATATAGTATCACTAACCCACATAACTGGCTAATTATCATTATATAGTATCAGTAACCCACATAACTAATTATCATTATATAGTATCACTAACCCACATAACTGGCTAATTATCATTATATAGTATCAGTAACCCACATAACTAATCATCATTATATATAGTATCAGTAACCCACATAACTGATTATCATTATATAGTATCAGTAACCCACATAACTAATCATCATTATATAGTATCAGTACCCACATAACTAATTATCATTATATAGTATCAGTAACCCACATAACTAATTATCATTATATAGTATCAGTACCCACATAACTAATTATCATTATATAGTATCACTAACCCACATAACTAATTATCATTATATAGTATCACTAACCCACATAACTAATTATCATTATATAGTATCACTAACCCACATAACTAATTATCATTATATAGTATCAGTAACCCACATAACTAATTATCATTATATAGTATCACTAACCCACATAACTGATTATCATTATATAGTATCAGTAACCCACATAACTAATCATCATTATATAGTATCAGCACCCACATAACTAATTATCATTATATAGTATCACTAACCCACATAACTCCAGCTAATTATTATATAGTATCAGTAACCCACATAACTAATTATCATTATATAGAATCAGTAACCCACATAACTAATTATCATTATATAGTATCACTAACCCACATAACTAATCATCATTATATAGTATCAGTAACCCACATAACTCCGGCTAATCATCATTATATAGTATCAGTAACCCACATAACTAATTATCATTATATAGTATCTGTAACCGACATAACTAATTATCATTATATAGTATCAGTAACCCACATAACTGGCTAATTATCATTATATAGTATCAGTAACCCACATAATTAATTATTATTATATAGTATCAGTAACCCACATAACTGGCTAATTATCGTTATTTAGTATAAGTAACTCACGTAATTCCATTGCTTTGTGAGCCAGTAGTGGGTTTTCATTTGTTTAGCAAACTGTAAAATATTTACGTGGTGTCCAATACCTTTACAGAGAAATTAGCAAAAAATGAAAGACTACCTTTTAATGGATAGGGATTTTTTCATCTTGCGATGTTGTGGGGACTGAGGCAACTAAGGCATTTCTGCTCTGTGTTTCTTCATCCTTAAATCCCTGCTTCCTTTTTCATTACACCCACATACATATACACATACACACGCAGTGGTGTATCCTGGTTTTGTGCTGCCCCCCGCAGCCTCCTTACCTTTGGTAATGCTGGGGTGGGTGACCAGGTAAGAAGCCACCTGGGCTGTGAGTTTGTGCACAGGGGCTGTGCAGGTAAAGTGCTCCGAATCGCAGGACAGGCAAGGACAAGCAGAAGAGTAGCCGTGGAAAGCCAAAGTCAGCAGGGTAAGCAATGAGAAAAGACAAGGTCACAAGCCGGGATCAATCTGGAGAACACACAGTGACAGGAACCAATAACGTGAGCCAGAGTCAATGGACTGACAAAGTTCCCAGGGCGAGGCAGTGCTTATATACCCAGCTAATAAATGATCTGCTTCAGGTGGTCTAGACAGACTGGAGCAACCACGGGTAAAGTCCAGTCCCCAGTGCTGGAGACAAGGTGAGGATAAACATTAGACATAATCAAGGACTGAAGTGTTGTCCAGATGCAATACAGCAGGACTAAGGCAGAGAGAGTCCAGAGTTCAAATCCCCTGTTGGGCCTTTCTGTGGTGACCATGTCTGGATGTCATGGTGAGAACTGTGACACATATAAGAACAGTTTTTTTTTGTGGTTTTTTTTAGATTTAGAGGATCACTACTATATAATCCTTAAGGTCCCCCCTTCCTCAGGGCCCCCTTCCTGCTGGGCTGAAGAGGTTAAAACCCCTTCAGCCACTTACCTTTGTCCAGTGCCAGGCTCCCTCGGCACTGGTGACCTCTCCTCCCTCTCCGACGCATGCACGGCCAGACCCGCGTGCATTAAAATATGCCCTTAGGAAAGCATATTCAAATGCACGCTCTGCACACTCAATGTGATTTTCCCCTCTAGGCTGGATTAACCCTGCAATGTAAACATTGTACATCTGAAGGGTTAAAACCTGGGGGACCTGGCACCCAGACCACTTCGTTGAGCTGAAGTGGTCTGTGTGACTATAGTGGTCCTTTAATAAATGTATTTTAAAAAAGTGTGTACAATTATAATATAATTTGTTATGAAAATATATATAACAGTGCAAAGAGAAAAAAATGTTTTAATTCAAAAATGTGCTGCCTGTAAGCTAAGGAGAAACAACTCAAAATCAATTCATATTTTTAAAACATTGGGTATTTACTAAGCACTGTATATTCGCTAACTTGGCTACATAGCTAGGTCATGACTGTAGCCGAGTTTTCCCAGATAAGCTATTGCCATTCGGCGTCTTTGTATATAAACCTGCCGACATCACTCCATATTTACTTAAAAGCATTTTGACACTTTTCATGCTGCCTCAGGGAAACCCCTTCCCGGATTTCTGGTAATAGCCCCACAGAACTCATTACATTTTCATAGGGACTTTCATAAGAATGATGTGCATTACAGCAGAAATAAACTTAATATTTGTTCAGAAAAGGTCACTAACACCCTCCCCCCCACCATCTCTTTTTGGGTGATATAATTTGGGTTTCTGCCCCTTTCAGGTTTTAAATCTTGTAAATTGTTGTCCTAGAACTCTTCATCATTCTGAGGCTCAGCTGATCCATCCTCTTTTTTCTGACTTCCCTGTTTGCCCATTGCTAACTTCCATGTTTGCCCATTGCCGACTTCCATGTTGGCCCATTGCTAACTTCCAAGTTTGCCCATTGCCGACTTCCATGTTTGCCCATTGCTAACTTCCATATTGGCCCATTGCCGACTTCCATGTTGGCCCATTGCCGACTTCCATGTTTGCCCATTGCTGACTTCCATGTTTGCCCATCGCTTACTTCCATGTTTGCCCATTGCTAACTTCCATGTTTGCCCATTGCTAACTTCCATGTTGGCCCATTGCTGACTTCCATGTTGGCCCATTGCCGACTTCCATGTTTGCCCATTGCTAACTTCCATGTTTGCCCATTGCTGACTTCCATGTTTGCCCATCGCTTACTTCCATGTTTGCCCATTGCTAACTTCCATGTTTGCCCATTGCTAACTTCCATGTTTGCCTATTGCTGACTTCCCTGTTTGCCCATTGCTAACTTCCATGTTTGCCCATCGCTAACTTCAATGTTGGCCCATTGCTGACTTCCATGTTGGCCCACTGCTAACTTCCAGCTGATCCATCCTCTTTTTGCCCATTGCTATCATGCATTCTGAATATAGTGAGCGCCCTGGAAGCTATAAAAACTGCACATGAAAACAGATATTCGTACAAATACATATATATAATATAATGAAATTATTAAATACTGCATAGTTTCCCAATTATATGAATGAAATATAATTCTCACATTGTGGTGGAACAGGTGCTTCTGTGATACTGCATTACATGTGAACAAGAATTGTTTTTTTTTTTTCTTTACCTGTCTTTACTCTCGCAGTGTCACGGCTGCTAGTGTGGTCCAACACGCAGAAACTATGTAAACATATACATTAAAAAAGGAAAGGAAATAAAAGGACAGAGCGTAAACCGGACCTTAGAATGGCTGGACTAATACGCTAGAGATGGAGAATGGTCAAAGGGAAAGCCGAGGTCAAGGAAGCCAGAAATACTCAGATACCGTTTAAACAAGCCAAGTCAGGGGAACCAGAATTCGGAATAACCAGGGAAAAGCCAAGATCAGGATACCAGGAAGTAATATTCACAAAGATAAACACACTCTAGGGAACCAGGAACAGGAAACCACGACAGGGCAAGGTACTGGGGTGAATTAGGGATTTAAATATCCCTCTCTAGGCTCTGATTGGTCAGAGGGTGACCTCTGACCCCAGAACGTGCGCATGTGTTGACGTCATGACGTCACGAGCACGTTCGTATAATTTTGGGGGGTCGAGCCATGGATGGACGCGACCTCATGGTCGGCACCATCTTGGATTTCCCCGAGCGGCGTGGAGGAGCGGTTCCCGGCTCGCCGCTGAGCAGGTAAGCTCAGTGAATTGGTGCGGTCGTGCCGGTTGGGCACGGACGCACGTGGAGGCGAGCCGGGGGCCGTGACACACAGAGGAAGCTGGTTTGCACTAACAGACAATTAACACAGCAGAAGATAAAAACTTCTAAAGTAAACACACTCTGCTTATGTAAGATAGATTCCGAATGAACATGCCTTTTCAGGATTTTTGCAGGGAGCTTGTGAGATCAACAGCCAGCGGAGGTGTGGCTGGAAAGAAATATAGAGAGTATTGAGCAGTGAGACTGCAGGAGCATAAACTATGCACCATAGCCACTTCATTACGCTTACAGTGTCCTTCCACTTTCTACACATATATATATTTTTTTTATCTTGCGGACTATAGTATTCTTTAGTAATCTTTATTTAAAAAATACACTGGAATCTTCTTTTCCAGGGAAGTGAACACCTGTTGAAATCAGAGGATGATGTGGAGGCCAGAGAATCGAATGTGGGACATATGGAACCTCCACCTGCTGTAGAACATGAAGACAAATGCCTGGGCCTATCAGGTAACCTGGCCATTTTGGAACCTATATTGGGACTCTGAATGTTTCTATTCATAGTACACAGCGGTTTGGGAAATGAATGGTGGTTCTCTCCCACACAGGGAAGCCGTTCACCACCACTAAGATTCTCTAAAATGTGACTCAATATTTTAATCAGAACTGTCAGTCTTCGGTCCTTTCACATACTATGAATAAAAAGTACAGGAGTACGTATAGTTACTTATAATTTGTCCATTCATAGTAGCATCTACAAAACAATTCTATGAAAACAGGTATCTATGAGATTCTCGAGAAATGGAGTTACTTGAAGTGATGGGATTTTAGTGCAACACGTAACATGTATGCTGGGATTCTGGTGCAATTTGTAACATGTATGCTGGGATTCTGGTGCAACACGTAACATGTATGGTGGGATTCTGGTGCAACATGTAACATGTATGGTGGGATTCTGGTGCAACACGTAACATGTATGGTGAGATTCTGGTGCAATGTGTAACTTGTATGGTGGGATTCTGGTACAACACGTAACATGTATGGTGAGATTATGGTACAATGTGTAACATGTATGGTGAGATTCTGGTGCAATGTGTAACGTGTATGGTGAGATTCTGGTGCAATGTGTAACATGTATGGTGGGATTCTGGTGCATCACGTAACATGTATGGTGAGATTCTGGTGCAACACGTAACATGTATGGTGGGATTCTGGTGCAACACGTAACATGTATGGTGGGATTCTGGTGCAACATGTAACATGTATGGTGAGATTCTGGTGCAACACGTAACATGTATGGTGGGATTCTGGTGCAACACGTAACATGTATGGTGGGATTCTGATGCAACACGTAACATGTATGGTGAGATTCTGGTGCAATGTGTAACTTGTATGGTGGGATTCTGGTGCAACACGTAACATGTATGGTGAGATTCTGGTGCAACACGTAACATGTATGGTGGGATTCTGGTGCAACACATAACATGTATGGTGGGATTCTGGTGCAACACGTAACATGTATGGTGAGATTCTGGTGCAATGTGTAACATGTATGGTGGGATTCTGGTGCATCACGTAACATGTATGGTGAGATTCTGGTGCAACACGTAACATGTATGGTGGGATTCTGGTGCAACACGTAACATGTATGGTGGGATTCTGGTGCAACACGTAACATGTATGGCTAGAGTCTGATGGAACACATAAAATGAACTGTACAAAGGTTTTGTAAACAAGAATATATCTAACATTATTCATTAAATGGGGAAATGGGAGATTTTCAGAATTATACCTAATGTGTAAGTAAATTTTAGGTACAACTTCCCTTTATCTAGGTACTAAAATGTGCAAGTTTCTTTTTGTGTATAATTCCAGAAAAGACTCATTGAATAAATATTTAATGTTGCTCTCTTTTAAAGGAGTCACAATGCACCCAAACCAAGAGTTAGACCTTAGAAACAGAAAGTGTAATGGCAGAACAAGAAGAGATCTGGAATATCTAGCACCTGAGAAAGCTGAAGAACTACCAAGTGAAATATATTTTAAGAGTGAGGAAATAGGAGACCTGGAAATCTCAGCAATTGCAAGCCAAGATGGACTGGCATGGGATCTAGGGAAGACCGATAGAGCAGATACAGACGTTCTCATGGATAAATCAGACAGGTGGTGTGATGTAATGACAGGTCATCTGGAATCACTGGTTGCAGGTGACAGGGAAGTTCTACTGGCTAAAGCAAAGGATCTTGAAAATCTAGCTCCCGTGTTTAAAGATGAAATTGCAGATAAACCCACGCCAAATGACATAGAGGTTACAGACACTTTATTAGATCATTCAGAGGGTCTTAAAAATCAATCTCCTTTGTATCAGGATGTAATAGTGGATGTTCTGGATAAACCCATGGCAATAGATGTAGAGGTTACAAAGACTTTATTAGATAACTCAGAGGATCGATCTCCCGTGTGTCAGAATATAACAATGGATTTCCTAGAACAGACTGATACAAGAGATACAGAAGTTTTGATGGATACTTCAGAGGATCTTGAGAGCCCAGCTCATGTGTGTGAGGAGAGTGGCATGCATAGTGATCTAGAACTGCGAGATACCCAATGTGAAGAAATTCACTTAACTTCGCATTACTTGGAAGATGTAGAATCCTCTGCTATCAGCTACAAAGACAGAAAAATGAGTGCTGAGAAGCAGACCAATCCAGAGTTTACAGACTGTCTACAGGATAAATTAGAAGACCCAGAAAGCTCTCCTCAATCGTATAACGATGAAAGTGATATGGAGACAAGATCAGAGAAGATTATGGATGATTTAATTCCTCAAATTCAAAATGAAGAGGAGACCATGCTGGTTAATCCAGATCTTATTAGTACAAAGGAAGAGGCGTCTTTGGTGTGTGAGCAATATAAACCCATACTATATAAAGAGACAAATGTGGAATTAATTATGATTGGAAAAGGAGAGCTGGTTTCAAGTGACCCACACAGCAATATCAAGGATGGTGAAGAGAGTGTTGGAGAAATGGTTTCAGAAAACCAAATGAATGAAAAAAATATTTTGACTCCAGAAAATCCTGGAAACATGGATTTTCTAGATAGTAATATAGAATATTTCACTGAAGTCACAATACAACATGAGGATATAAAACAAGAAAGTTACCATGAATTATCTCAATCAGATCAAGAATCTAGGCAGGTGGAATTTACAAATACATTAACCACACAAGATGGTGAGGAAGGTAGGGCAATAGCCGACATTTCTGGAGAGGGGCACAACCCTTCGCTGGTTGAAGAAGAGCATCACCTAGGTCCTTCAGAAGTAGAGAATGCCAGTTTGGAAGATGTAACTGAGATTGCAACATCCCCAGTAGTAGAAAATAGAGAAGTGCAAATGAGAAATGAGTCATATATGCATTCCGATAGCTTTACAGTGAATCTAAAAAGTTCATTTGCAGAACAAATACATTTCAAGCAGCAGGTAGAGGAGCAGGAATGCCCTTGTAATGTAGACTTACCGGAAGTACATATATCAGTGGAAGTAGAGCCAGTTGTGCTGGATCTAATACCATCAAACTTATCTGTTAATGAAGAACCACCTGTAACGGAGCAAGTTCCTTTGTTAGAGGAGAGAATGCCTTTGAGTAGCTTAGATCAGTTACATAAAACCATTTCTCCAGTAAACGAGTGTATCTCAGACAGAGGTGATGATGAGAATTTATCAGTAGATGTTGTAGAACCAGAGAACAGAATATTTGTTGAAGACAAATCATTGCAAGGTTCAAGTGAATCTTACAGAGAAGTCGAGGATAAACATGAATATTTTATCAAAGAAGAAACCCATTCTAATACAGAAATTGAGAAACAAAGGAGAGAAATACACATCTCTCTCACTACTGATGAGTCAGAGGGAATAACAAATTATACATCTATGGAAGAAGACAATATACCTGTACACAAAGAAACAGCTTTACCTGATGTATTAATTGTGGAATCAGCACATTTTCAGGTTTCACATCCAGAAGATGAAGAACATTCAATATCACAATCAGACAAGGCAACTACCAATTTAGAAGAAGACCGCCAGCAAGATGAAGGTCACAGTTACAGCTTGGATGATGTGCTATCAGGAGAACAACAGCTAATACAGCAAGAAGAGAATGATCCAAAAGAATATGAGCGGTCAGTGTGGTATGAAGAATATAAGGCTATAACTGGGAAAGAGGAATATAAATCAGATATCAAAATAAATGTTCCAAACCAATTTGAGGATTTCGGTGAGGGCTTAGAAGAAGCAGAAATGTCTCATACAAATGTGAGATCAGCTGAAGAACTTTCAATTTCTTCAACAGAAAGTGAAGAAATATTATTAGCACAGGATACTTTGAGTTGTGATAAAAAAGAGGATATTGAGGAAGGAGAAGATATGCAAGGAAGCTTCATTATAATTCCTGAGGAAACGTTGATTTCTCTCGAATCAGACACTCAGGTAATAAAGCCAACATTGGTAAGTGGATCTACACCAGGCATGAGTTCATTACTAGATGTGATGTCGCTTCAAGCAACAGATAAAACAGAAAATGACCAGACTCTGGAAAAAGATTTTGTTTCAGAGGATGAGGCCGGATCTTTGCAAGAATCAGGAACATTACCAGCTGTGTTTGATGAATCCAAGGCAGTACAAAATCTAATAGAACTGAGTAAAACTTCCACAACAGAGCATGAGTTCTCAAATATGAGAGGAGAGGAAACTCCAGAAAGAAATCTCTCAGCTGACAATACAGATAGTAAAGAAACAAGTGTAATAGAGGTACTGGAACCAGATTGCAGAGAACACAATGGCATCTCATCTAGCCAAGCAATGCATAGTGAGTATTACTATACAGATGATGATGCTTTTGATAAAGAAATGATGAGAAGAGACGAACGCTCAACCAATGGCAAACACACTGTTGAGATCACAGATGATATTAGCGTTACTGAATTCCAAGTTACTGAATTCCAAGTCTTCAATACAAAAGGAGGTAATTTTTACACATTACAGGATAAACCGAGCAATGCAGTAGAAGACGGTAAGAGTCTAATGGGTGACTATCAACCAGTGAGAGAAGATATAGATGTTCCAAAACATGGTACAGAGCATCAGGAATCCTTCAGTGATTCATTGCAAGAAAAAGATTCTTTGGAGCACAAGGTTCTCCTAGAGAATGATGATAACAAGGAAGCATCACTGAGAAGCAAAGGTGAATCTGAGCGAAAGGAACCACCAAGCGAGTCAGATGAATCATGGACTGAGAATGCAACTGGAGCAGGATGCCTACCTCAAGGAGAAACAGAAGGTTTCAGAGAAATAGATATTGTTCAAAGTAATAACATTATAAAAGATAAAGACTCTCAAATTAAATTAAACATTACTACAGTGCCGGAAGATAATTTTCTAAAATTGTCAGGCTTTGAGGTAGATAAAAAGGAAGACGCTTTTGGGAAACAAGTTAATTTGTTTGCTGGAGAAAGGTCGGTGGAGGTCCACCATGACAATCTACATGAAGACAGTTCGCTGAGTGAAAAACAGTATTTCTCCACAGATGGAAGTCAAACCTATGCAGCAAAAGAAGACAAAGATTGTTCCCTTACTGAAACGCACCATCATTACCAAACAGATCTCAAAGTGACTACACCTCCAGAAGATCCTGCAGAAACATTAGAAGAATCCCACTGGAAACCAGATCACTCACCCCCAGAAATATCTCAAAGTGATGAGATAACAAGAGAAGAACATTATACAAGGTTACATGATCCTTTGTTAACTGCAGAAGAAGTCCAAGGATGTCAGATGGAGATATCGCAGACACTAGTTGATAATCATGGAATAAGTATATTTGAAGAACGAAATATACCAGCCGAAGGAATGATGGAAAGTAACAAACAAGTAGATGTATTATTAAATAAAGAATCTCTGCCACCAGGTCATTCAGAGCAAGCTGCACCTGTTATTGAACCAGAATCAAGCGTTGAAGAAATCGGAGACACCCATAAAGATTTAGATCTCTTATCAGAAATTCCGAGTTTAATTGACCCCATGCAAGTTAAAACAAGTTCCACTGAAATGACAGAAGAAACTGATCTTGTAATAAAAAGCCATTCTACAAGCACATCAGATCAATCAGTTCCGGAAAAAGAACTGGTCAAGGAAGCATGCAATCTGGAAGATGCACCACCAGATCGCCCATCAGAAGATATTGTCGTCTCTGAAATTTCTACCACTTCAGATCTCCAGGAAAATGTGACAGATATTTTATTTGGATTTTCCCATACTAAAATTCCAATTGAAGAAGACCTTAGTATTAATGGCAGCATTCAAGCCATACCAGGACCTGAAATTGTTATATCGGCTGACTATGGTCTACCAGAAGACATTGAATTGGAATCTGGTCACATGGTGGAAGAAATCAAAGAAGAAAATTATAGCGAGGAGGAAGAGAATATCAGAAGTACACGTTCAGCAACTGATTGTGTCTCCAGTAAAAATCAGAGGGAACATAAAGATACTTACCCAGCACCATCAGAACCTCAAACAAATATGATGGAGGTACCGGGACCCATAGAGGAGGATGATGAGATAGATGGCGATATGGTGAGATTTCTACTTTTTAAATCACTATCTCTCTATTATTAAGGGATATTGTAAATGTGTCACTGTAATAAAATTTGGACACATGTCTAAATAATTCAGTCACCATGGAAACCAATAAGATTATCTTGCTGATTTTGTCAGGTTTCTTATAAAGCCCCATTTCTTTTTGTGCCAATTTAATAATGCTCCATTAATATCAATTAATTAAAGCGTCACTGCGGGGTCTATTGAATAAATACTGAAGTTTAGTGAATTGAAGAAATTTTTTTTTTAAATGTAGTGTATGATCTGGCCCTGATTATAATAAAGTATCAAATCTGTGTCTAAATATTGCAATTCGGTTTCAATTGATTACAAATCAGTGCTTAGTCAATAAATATACACGCGTCACTTTGCATTGCACTGTATCATATGAATTTTACTACATAAAATAATTAGTTAGACAAGGACGTATGAGGAACGATATCCTAGAATAATGAACATTTCTCTCTGTGTAAGCGATATTAATGCACAGATAATCTTTATAACATACATTATTTTATTTCCAGATTAATTTAGTATTTCTTAAATCTGTGCTGCAGTGGTTTATGGGATATGTAGTTCAGCTCAAGCTGCAGTTCTTCTTATCAGATCTGAATAAACTGATATACCACTGCTGCAATCAGTTTATTTATAGTCCTGTTTGCAATTTTGTGAGTAGAACTGTGCAGAGTTCATCCTAGCTGCCGAGTATTCATGCGTACAGCTGCGATTCAGGGGGCGGTGGAGTGCAGTGGGTATGACCACCCTGTCTGTAGAAATAACTTGGACAGAGATTGGACAGCAAAGCAGGAAGTAATCATTATCCATTGACATCCATATCAGAGGGGGCTGCCTCATAGCTGTGTGATTTTAGCGATTCGCTGTAGTAATAAGTAACATAGACGTGAATTTCTCTCTAATTCTGAAGCTTTTTTACTTTCTCTATTCTTGACTGTGCGCCACTTAAAGTATTTTTTTCTCTTTCCTACCAGCTCCCTCACAGGACACTAGATTTAAGTGCACAGAAAAGCAGAGTTCAGCTGCGCAGGAAAACGTCCATCCGAAGGCGGCAGGGTCAGCGCCAGTCCCTTCCTGACCCACAGCCCAGTGAGCAGCCCCCACCGGTACACCGGCCCTTTTCAGTAGCACTTCCAGGACTGGTAGGAAAGCCGCCAATACACCCTTCAGTGACCCCCATGGCACACGCAGTGCCTCCTCCTGCAGAAGAGAGAAAGGAAGAGAGAGCGGACACGGAGGAACTCGCTATTAAGCCAAAGAAGGTCTTCCCAAAGCATGCTGGGTAAGGATAACCTTAGTTAAAGGGAAACGAAATCCAGGTTTTTCCCGCAGCAGAGAGCGTTTGCACAGCTGGTATTTACATTTTTATACACGTGAAGGGACTACAGACATGGGTCTGCTATGACTAAGTGCATGCTAGAATGATTTTAGTGGGATTTTTCCTGCAAGTTGCAACAAATATCAAATATCTTTAATTCTGTCCTGATTTCAGTCTTGAGCTTAAAATATTTTTGTTGTGTGTGAACACCACCTTCTTCCTCTTTGTTATTGTCCCCCCCTCCCCCCTTCATTTCTGATTGAGCGTCTTGCTTTACGGCAATGCTGCAATACTCTGGTGACACCATGGTGCAGAGAAGTTTGTTGTAACGTTACCCTTTTATAAACTTATCAAACTAATAAATGGCTATGGGCAGAAATGTTCATGTCTGCTAACACAAGGCATTCTCTGCAACAACACACAGTGGCCATTGTGGCTCTCACACTGCAAAGCAATTAGGGTAACTGCAATATCTACCCGTAGGGGGCATGGGTTTCAGGGTGAATTTGGGGTGTTTTGTGTGCAGTGACTCACATACTATCCTCTTCCCTTTCTCGGGGCAGATTTGGGATCCCACACCCCCAGATGATGCAGGAGCTGCAGTCACGTCTACTCAAAAAGAAACCCAAGGAGTGATCTTGAAAAGGAAATCATATTATCCTCAGCCGTCCTGTTATGGGTTAACCTGTATGTGTATAATAAAGACTCCAAATGAAACGTGAAGACTCAGCAGCTTGATCTGTTTGTTTTACTTTCTGACTCATTGTAAAAGTCATTGTGCTTGTCCATGCGTACATAATGGAAGGAAACCATAACTCATCAGATTCGCACATATTTTACATCGCTGTCGACTGATATTTTGGAATACATTTCTCCATCTGCTTAGAAAACAGAAAATGTTCTTAGATCTCAGTCCTAATAATCTTCCCCCACTTTAGACCATGAGGGGTCATGTATCTGTTAAATGCCCATCCACACAAAGGCGAAAGAGCACTGGCCCCCGTCACATGAAAATATAGGGTTTGTAAGTTAGCTTTTACCAATAACGAGCGATGGAGAGATCTTGGTCAATATGTAAAGTAAGTAACACAAGGTGGACCTGAAGCTAACGCAGCCACTGCTACGCTACACAGCGATTTGACCTCTCCGAGACTCTCCGCACAATCTGCCATGTGTACACTATTTATAATAGACTCATCTCTCATGCAAGAGGGGATTAACGTGTTGCTGTCCGTTGATAGGGCATTGTTTCAGTGCTGTTTCATGGAATAAGATTTAGTAACAGTTGCAGGTTGCTCTAAAGATGTTGGAAATAATGGGCGCTACAGATGTGTATTATATCGGTTGATAAAAACTGAGATTTAAGCAATTTCTTATTGTACTACAATCAGAAATTCCAACTGCAAAAACAGAATTATTTTTGGATTAGGAAGATGTTGATACTGATAGACTGATAGGCATTGTATTGTCGGTAAAGTATCCGTGTCTCCTGAATCTGACACATTTTTCTATATTGTATTAATAGTTATATAGTGACAACATATTTGGCAGTGCTATACAATTATACACCGGGATATAAAATAACAAGTAATGTAGGCAGTAGCAAGAGGTGTAGAAGCTTACAGTCTATGTGAAACGAATAAAGGAACATGATGAGGCACACTTTCCTCTGCTGTAGGTGTAATCTCTTTTCTTCAAGTCTCAATGGATGACTTTCTGTTAATGAACAGGTCACCAAAGAGCTGTTTGCAATGACTCTGCGCATGTTCAAATAATGATGTTTATAGCATTTCGAAAGTTCACTGCTTGAGGGTTGAGAAAAGGACATGTATGAATCAGCTCACACTCACATGATTCCTCAACTTCACCACACTCCCTAAACAAAGGATGCCGCAGTCAACATGTTATTGTGAGTGTTGCCCAAACTATAATAAAATGTGGAAAAGATTAGTCCAAATGCTACTGTACTGCAGACTGTCTGTTCAGCAAGTCCGGACCTTGAGAGGATTTATGAACTGAAAGCTCATACTACGTTTAATTGTTATTGTTGTATATGTTGTTCGTTATCAGTAGGTGTTTGTTGTGTGATATGTTATTGCTCTATGTTTGCTATCTGGCGGTGTTTGTTGTGTGATATGTTATTGGTTGATGTTGTTTGCTATTCAGTTGTGTTTCTTGTGTGATATGTTATTGGTAAATGTTCTACGTAATCCAGTTGTGTTTGTTGTGTGATATGTTATTTTCCAGATGTGTTTGTTGTGCTATGTGTTGTTGTGCATGTTATTTGGGATAAAGATGTTATTGCTTTGTGTTATTTTTGTCGAGCTATATCCTAGATGTGTTTGTCGAACGATGTTATTAATATATGTTGTTTGTTATCCAGATGTTTTCATCATTTAAATTAGTTATTGGGGTATGTTTTACTTCTGGTAAACACCAGAGGAATTTCCCTCATCCCCTGCGATGACTCAGATGTTAAGATTATTCCAGCACTGATTAGGGGGATCTTCCAAGATCCCCTATGGGCCTTTTCTTTTAAGAAAACGCTTTCAATAGGGGATAAGTATACGCTGAGACCTGTATGATAAGGTGCAGAAAACTCACAATGCCCAGTATGCAATTTTCAGTGAGTTTTGGGTCTTTTGAATTCCTATTTATTTCAAGTAAAAGCCGTATAACAAACAAACCAACATTTTACATAATGATTAAAAATCTGTTTTATTAATAGAAAAAGAAACATGAATTTTCTTAATGGATGAGTCACAGATCACAGAACATTACTGTAAATAAAACACAAAAAAAACACAAATAAAATTCCACTGCTCATTTCAGTTTCACTGAAGTCACATTTGTGCAATGTAAGAGTTCACACTTCATTTCCCATAATATCGAAGCACTTCCACATACTCGCACAGTGAGTGTCTCCTCTGCAGTAACAGCCCATTCGCACCGCTCATGGATCCACCGCTCCAAAACTGGAAATATGGAAAAATTAAAAAGGAGGGATTTTCAAATGTATGAGAGCAGAAAGTGTGGACCCCCTGAGCTTTCTAATTATGGCAAATTGATGTTTTTTTTTTTTTTTTCCTTTCGATATACAACTGTTTAGGGTGTTTTAGCCTGCAGTGTTCCCTTCTCACTCCCGATATGGAACCAGTGCTTATGGGTTAGGTCTCAGGATCCAGCTTTGGAATATACTTTTATACCCTATGACAGAATATTTTTTTCCATACGGATTTAGAATCTAAAGGTCCTACAGCAAATGCCATGAAAAATATATTGGACAATTTGGACTTGTTGGTGGTGTAACCCAGTTTTATAAAAAAAACAGGAATGTTAAAATTCCAATGTCCAAGTAATGGTACAAAGTATCTACATCCTACTTGTAAATATAGCATGATTCATCACACCATAGCCATGTATTGTAATATAAAATAAAAGGATATAGATGGGTTTTCTGAGTCAACATCTCTGGGTTATGTGGGTTCTAATGCTCCTACCATTATTCCAGCATAGCGCAAACAATAAACACAACATATACATTGTATAAACAATACACACAACATATACATTGTATAAATAATACACACAACATATACATTGTATAAACAATACACACAACATTTACATTGTATAAACAATACACACAACATTTACATTGTATAATTAATACACACAACATATACATTGTATAAACAATACACACAACATTTACATTGTATAAATAATACACACAACATATACATTGTATAAACAATACACACAACATTTACATTGTATAAATAATACACACAACATATACATTGTATAAACAATACACACAAGGACCCATTTTGTGAAACATTGAATAAATTGAAACATTTCATATCTGTAAAACAAACCTTAGCTTATTTTAACCGTCTGGGCAAACATTATGACTTGGGCTAACGGCTATTAGTCACAGCTAAGTTAGGCTACCATAAACTGAACCCTGTGTGTCCTTGGTGTGTACAATGCCAAGACAGCAACTCAACCAAAATCTAATAAAACAAAACAATATCAAAGAGAGCAGAGAATGATTTGTGTTCTACCATGAGTGTAACCAGTCCTCTTTGTAATACTGGGGTTAATAATTATACATTTTATACTCTTAAAATGATATTCATTTTGATCTCCTTATAGTAAATTTAAATGTAAATTATTAACAATTTTTTTAAATTACCAGTCCTTGGGTTTTCTTTCTCCTAACAATTGTAATTACAGCTAATGGAACGAATGTTAATATTTTTATTTATGTGCTAAAATATATATTTTTAAAAGCACTGTGCATGACAATAAACCTTGCGAAGTTACATAATGCAGACTGTACCTGTATCTAGGAGAAGCATGCAGATTGTGTCTCTGTAGAGAGAACTGAAAAGCCAACGGGTTTTGTGCCTCGCTGGAACTCCTCTGATGAATTACCAAATTAATGGTGATATTTGTTACATACAGAGGAGATCCTACAATCCAGTTTTTCAGTAATATTTAGAAGACCTTCCATCAATTTCCTGCCCAAAAAACAAATAAAATCAAAACACTCCCAGCTCATTTAACCTGTGAAATTACAGCTTTTTACTGTCTGATCACAAGGTAAAATCGAACCCAAATAGATGCTCAGCGGTTCTAGGTATAAATTCTCAGCAAGTAGCATTGCTAGGCTGTGGCTGATTGTGTAACCTTTATGAAAGCACATTTTTTAAAACGAGTGATGCAATAATTTGTGTTGCACATTTTCTTTGGTTATATGACATCTTGGCTGACAAAATCCTCAGATTTCTTGTCTGCGGCCTTTGTCTGCGGCCTTTGCAGCTCAATGAGAAGTCTTTGTAAGGCAGGTGCTCTGGGCAATTACTGCCTCTTCAGTTTAGCTTCACTGAGCTAACCAAACCAGGAAGTAACAGGACCTGTTGTTTGATTGACAGCTGGGTGGGTGTAACATGGTTAAATTATAATAGTGCCAATTTTTATTGAAATCTACACTTTTTAACAAATTTTAAAAATTTTTAAAAAAGAGGACACCATCTTCACACATAAAGCACTTCAGCAAGCTGAAGTGGCTTTTGTGCTCAGATATTTCTTTAATTTTTTAAGTGAATTCTGTTCCTCCTAGAGTTACCGAGAGTGGACGATCTTGCCACCTCCTGATGAGAATAAAGTTAAAAAAATGATCCTATGAGTTAGTATTACTATACATATAAGAATCAGCGGCGACTGGTGATGCCTTAAAGGACCAATATAGTGCCAGGAAAACATACTCGTTTTCCTGGCACTATAGTGCCCTGAGGGTGCCCCCACCCTCAGGGACCCCCTCCCGCCCGGCTCTGGAAGGGGGAAAGGGTTAAAAACTTACCTTTTTCCAGCGCTGGGTGGAGAGCTCTCCTCCTCCGATCCTCCTCCGTTCCTCCTCCTGGGCTGAATGCGCACGCGCGGCAAGAGCTGCGCGCGCATTCAGCCGGTCACATAGGAAAGCATTCATAATGCTTTCCTATGGACGCTGGCGTGCTCTCACTGTAAAAATCACAGTGAGAAGCACGCAAGCGCCTCTAGCGGCTGTCAATGAGACAGCCGCTAGAGGGAATGGGGGAAGGCTTAACCCATTCATAAACATAGCAGTTTCTCTGAAACTGCTATGTTTATAAAAAAATGGGTTAACCCTAGCTGGACCAGGCACTCAGACCACTTCATTAAGCTGAAGTGGTCTGGGTGCCTAGAGTGGTCCTTTAAGATGGATGGGCATCAGACTCCTCCCCCAGAATTTTACTCCTCCCTATAAAGTGCAGAGATACCTATACAATACACAGAGCTGTGTACAATACAGAGATACCTGTACAATACACAGAGCTGGGTAGACACAGCACACAGTGTGCACAGGGTTGAAGCACAGTATACTGATAGACTCCTTATTAAACACAGTGTACACAGGGTTAAAGCGGTAGGATACTGATAGACTCCTTATTACACACAATGTGCACAGGGTTATAGCAGCAGGATACTGATATACTCCTTATTACACACATTGTACACAGGGTTAAAGTGGTAGGATACTGATAGACTCCTTATTACACACAGTGTGCACAGGGTTATAGCAGCAGGATACCGATAGACTCCTTATTACACACAGTGTACAGAGGGTTAAAGCGGCAGGACACTGATAGACTCCTATTACACACAGTGTACACAGGGTTATAGCAGCAGGATACTGATAGACTCCTTATTACACACAGTGTACACAGGGTTAAAGTGGTAGGATACTGATAGACTCCTTATGACACACAGTGTGCACAGGGTTAAAGCAGCAGGATACCGATAGACTCCTTATTACACACAGTGTACAGAGGGTTAAAGCGGCAGGACACTGATAGACTCCTTATTACACACAGTGTACACAGGGTTATAGCAGCAGGATACTGATAGACTCCTTATTACACACAGTGTACACAGGGTTAAAGTGGTAGGATACTGATAGACTCCTTATGACACACAGTGTGCACAGGGTTAAAGCAGCAGGATACCGATAGACTCCTTATTACACACAGTGTACACAGGGTTAAAGCGGTAGGATACTGATAGACTCCTTATTACACACAGTGTGCACAGGGTTATAGCAGC